AGTATGTGGTGTGTTTAACACAGATGTGGCAGTGGCGTAGCCACGAGGGATTTCTGATTTCTTAAAAAAAAAACTTTAGGAGGCAAAATATATTTTTACTGATTATGTGAATTACACTGCGCAAACCAAAGTAGGCTACTACCCAGCGAATGAAGAAGGGTTGGCGCTCAGTCTCCACAGTACATAAAATATTAATTTTGTTTTATTTTATTTTTCGGGTTTGCATTTATGAGGAAAAAACAATGTTATGGACGTGTTCTCCGTTAAGGACGTGAGCGCTCTGAAAGCGGCATACAAAATGCTTTAAAACTTTCACAGAGACATCAAACAGAAAACACAAAACCTTTCTTTAACCTGAATTTCGTTTTGCATTAATTGTATCTTAATTTTAATCAATGTTTCATCAACCAATTGCCTGGGTTTAATAAATAAGAAGTAAATAGCAGACGATAGATAAGAAACGGAGGCGCCGGCACGTGAACTGGATCTCGTCTCATAAATGAACCGAAACTCAGTGTATAAGGTAGCCTACTTGCCTCTCACAGACATGTCTACTTTTAAACAGAAAAATTCAAAACGAAAGAAAACAGACTACAGACTGCTCTCTGCTTATGTAATCCGTATGAAATGTGCATTTCTCTCTGGCGCGTTCACTACTGAAGATCGCGAGTCAGCATCGTCAACTTCATCTTAGCCGACACTGACAAAGAAAACACTTGTTTATTAACAAGTGTTTATTAATAAACAATTAAAATATCTCCTTGCTATATTTTACATATTCATAATCATTCCTTTTGCCGGTTCTTTGTGACAGCTTTTAGGTGCTTTATTGGCAGCGCCACCCTTACATGTGGTGTGTGTGTGTGTGTGTGTGTGTGTGTGTGTGTTGTCCCCGCATTTAAGATGGGACCCCCCATAAATTTAATTTAATTAAATAAAGCAACATGGTAAAAAGATGAAAATGACTTGATTTTACTTTCAATTCCTTTTACATTCTCCAAGGTATTAACATTAACATTTTTCATAACTCCATGTAGGACGTTTCTGTGCATAAATGTAAGCACTGTGGCAGTAGATTAGTAATGCAATATTTAGAAAATGTACTCTTGTACTCTTGATACTCAAGTACTTTTAAAAACAAGTACTTTAGTACTTTTACTTAAGTAGACATCTGAATGTAGTACTTTTACTTGTACTTGAGTAAAATTTAGCAAGGGGTATCTGTACTTTTACTCAAGTAACAAAGCTCTGTACTCTGTCCGCCTCTGACTAAATTAATAACTTTTTTTTCAAGAAAAATTAACCAACACTGAACTTACTTAAGCTGAACTATGACGCTATTTTCTTCTAGACACAAACGTTGTTGCATTATTTTCCTGTTATCTCTGTAAAGCTGCTTTTAAACAATCTGTATTGTAAAAAGCGCTATGTAAAAAAAGGTGACTTGACTTGACTTGTTGCGACAAAAGCCAAATGTCAATATTGCAACCAAGCCCCAGTTTCAAAAACTACGAATTGAAAACAAAAAAAGTTTGTTTAGAAACAGACACAACCATCTATGCATGTGTTTTGAGCAAGCAATTATTGTCAGATTTTGAAACCTATCATAGGGTTATTCAACACATTCTCATCCTTTGGCGTCATATAGGTGACGCCATATGACATTTCGTCGAAATCTTACGCACATGGCATCCTTTAGTGTCAATATAACATGCACTGTTATGGGTAGGTTTTGGTCTGGGGTAGGGTACGGTTACTTATGACGCTTTGGGTTCTGCGTCTCATATTGACGCTAAAGGATGCCATGTGCGTCGGATTTAGACAAAATGTCAAAAGCGTCACATGTATGACGCCAAAGGATGAGAACGGGCTGGGTTATTCTCTTTCTTTCAAATAGACAATATTATTCCCATTCTAAATAGCTTTTGATTTAACAAAAATTTAGAAATGCCCTAGAATGCAAAATGAGTCACCAGTATCACAGTTTTTTTTTTTTTTTTTTTTATAAAAAAAAAAATCTATGACAATTAACAGTGACGATGATAAAGTAGATGTGCCAAGTTCTAAGAAATATAGTCTTGGTACTCATGTTGGTTTCATATGGTTTTGATAAACAATATAAAGATTGATATCTAATATGTAAGAATTTTTATGCATTAATTACTTTTTTTTTAAATGAGAACTTCCCTGATTTCCTAAGTTGCCTATGAAACCCTGTAAAATGATTTTTATGTGAAGGACTTTTTTGGGGGGGAAATCAGAAGGATGTGTTTGTTACGCACGCGCTCGAGGACCTCTCTTCGGTTCAGTGACACATGAAATGAATGTTCAGGATAATGCCAAAATAGCTACTGTGTGTGTACTATATTGTCAATGTAAAGAAAAGGTATTCATTTCAACTATAGTCTCACATAGCCAGATCTATAGTCTCAAATATACTTTATAACAAAACTATCATTCTGCAATTTTAATGACCTCATCTGTCAACACGATGCCGGTATATTGCAGAGTTGGTGCAAACATATCCACATCGCTATGATCCAGGGGCGGAGTGGGACCAAAAAATCTACCGGGAAATTTCGTAGACCACCGGCCCTCGTCACCGGCAGGGCCGGATTAAGAGCCCCCTGGGCACAATGTCTTGTAGGTCCCCTCTTAGGCAGGCCAAATGTATATTTTGTCCAGGGAGATTTTAATACGGCATTTACAGTTTTACTGATTTAAAAGTAACTTTGTTGTACTATGCTGGAGTAAAGTTCATAAATGGTCGTTCTTTCCCATAGGAATTTTTAAAACTATGTTGGGTGGACCTCTGTGCCTCTAGGGGGGTTCGGGGGCATGCTCCCCCGCAATAATTTTTTTTACATTTTAAGGTTAAATGCATCAATCTCGTGCTCTTTGAGAGATCAAAATTAAGAGCTTCAACCCATGAACTGCTCGTTGAACAAAGAAAAAGCATTGATTTGTACCAGGACAATAAAGAGGGCATCTTTTTAGTTATGAGAGTCTCAGTCTGCATTACATTATCAATGATGTTTTAGGATGCCAAACAATTATTATTATAATGTAATAATGATTTATATAATTATTCCTATGACGTAAAATTCATTTAGCCTATAAATGTACTATATAGGCTAGGCCTAAATGAAAATGAATATTTCAAAAGTATATTTTAGCCTACATTACACTATAATATAGGACAATTAAAATATTTTTGTCCTAATTTCTTCATTTGCAAGAAATAAACCCTTGAGCTTTTAGGAGAAAACACCAGATAACCATGCTGATCGCGTGAGCAAAGTAATCACCCAGCACAGACAGGATGCCTATTCTTAAAGTCTGTGCTGTTTTATAAAGACACAAAGCCATATCATGGTTTCAATTTTAGTTCGTTGGCAAAATATAACGCTAGAGACCTTAATGTTAGGTTATACATTTTACAACTTTACATATGTGTTGGGAAAAGGGAGAAGAGAGAGTTCGGCAAAAGGCGGATTCGAACTCGGGTCGAGCGCATCAAAAGCTGCTTTCAAGCACTTCACGCCCTACGACCTACACCACTGTAGCTGTTTCGTAACGAGTGTCTTTTTGCTTTAAAGACAGGCACTTAGTGCAAATATACGCTCTGTTATAGAAAATGTTAAAAAAAAATGTTTTCTTCCCCTCGCTTGGGCCCCAAGTGCGCATGGCGAATTTGCAATGAATATATTTTATCAGACCGGCCCTCGCGGCCTCGAAACAATACCGGCCCACCGGGAAAACTCCCGACTCTCCCGATTGCCACTCCGCTACTGCTATGATCAGATGCTTTCTCAACTGCTGTTTTTTCAACGCTTAGTTAGTCTTGCTAACCACCAGTGTTCATGAATACCATCAAAAAGAATGTGATATCTTCACAAAGATGGTAGACATCTGGCTCTCGACCAAAATCCACTCAGCAACAAGAGTAAATATTCACCAGACATGAACACAAGGAGTAATGCTCACAATCTGTGACAAAAGACAAGAGTGTATAGGGGGAGATAAGTTGCAGAAGAAATGATGGCATTGCTGGTGAATAAGGGAGGCTTTTGGGTAATACTGCTATAGAGATGCAGCTGAGGAGAATATGAAAAGATTCTCAGTGGTGCAAAGAATCTACTATGCCTTCCAGTATGAGTGCATTTCAGTGCAGTTCATATGTTTCACTGAACATGTATGCCTGTGTGACTGATAGCATGATTTGAGACATTCCGCTTCAATGGAAGCAATCAAATCTGACTGTCTGTACAGACAGTTCACGTGATCAATGTCACAAATATGCTTAATATTTTGAGTGTTTGATGGAGAATCATAACTATGTATTCCTCAATTTACATTTCTTTGTTTAACAGTAAAACCCTAAAACTACCTGTTTATTTCCAGGTTATGGTTTCCAGATGGTCTCATACTTTTCCCCTTATTGCGTTTCTGCACATTATCTACTATTCTAAACTGAATTATGTATGTACCATGTCTTCTGCACAGCTTATTTGCCAATTTGCACTTTACCATTATTTATTATTTATATGCTATATTACAACTCACATGTCTGGTTAGATGCTTGCAAGGACAATAAAGTTGAATCTAATCTAATAAAATATTTATGTTGCAGAAAATAATATATTTTGAAATGCACACGTTCTCTTCAGAAAACACTGTGCATGAACTGCATATGAATATGCACTTTTTTCTCTTTTCAAAAGTTGATCAACAGAATCAACAGGTTGACTGGCCGTGTGCCTATATTTATGATACATCACATCAGTCAAGCAATAAAGGTAAGGTTTGATGGATGGTTATGATTATACTCGCACCACAGAACTCAAGGTGTCCTAGTGACCAAGATCACTTGCATAAAATGAGAACAGCTCAATTGCATATGCATAATGGCATCAGTAATGCAAATCATCAGCACTTTATTCCGGTTAATTTGATGGACACCTTCAAAACAACATTGATGAGATATAAGTGGCACCTACTGTGGGCTCTTTGGATAGAAAGGCAGGGTGACATGACTGAGTTCGTGAATATCAAAGGCTGTAGGTTCGGCTGAGATCGCCTGTCTCTTGGTCCTCTGGTGCTCTTGAAGGACACTCTGCTTGTGGACTTGTTGCGTTGCCGGTCTTATAACTGATCGGTATTTGTCTAACTCATTCTGAAGCTTCTGGATGAGTTCGTCTTTCTGATCCAGCTCCAACTCCAGTTCATCAATAAGCGCGTCTCTCTGTCTCAATTCTTCAATCTTCTCCTGTAACGCGTACTGGAGATCGCGTAAAGTGCCCATTTCTCCCCACTGTTAAAGATCCGCAGCCGTTACCAACTTGGCGAACGGTCAGTTTTCGGTCATGAAATGAAAACAAACCGCTTTTGCTCGTATGTTCCGTGACAATGTCGCCAAAATTCGCAGCGCCAATCCACCGGCGTGCTTTCACGTTACTTATACCGGAGGAATGAGCGGGGAAACACCCACGGCGTCTGCAGACATCACATTCGGGAGACGAAGTTTCACAGGGCATTCATTTTTTTGTCCAAATACGTCAGTCGCAGCTGTGGAGCGCGTCGAGCGCGAGTGGAACGCCATGAACGCGCAGTGAACGCGCTGTGAGAGCAACATGCTCGCGGCTCCCAGACGAGCCAATGGGGAAAGACTCAAGCGCGCACCTGCAACAACCGCTGAGAGCTCTCTGCGTGCGCTACCTTTCACGAGCACATGAGCACAGTTCAACAGTTTCAGTGAGAGTTCCTTTACCTTCAGCAAAGCGAAACTTTCCCCGAGTGAATTACTTATTTTGTTTAGCTATTTAAACTCCTAAAATGAGCAAATCAGACATCAAATTAAATAGACACACTGCCTCAGAGAAATGTGCAACCTAGCTGTTTTCTCATCGATATCTCAGTGGTTAGTAGTTTGCAAACCTTTTTGTGAAAGGCTTATTTAAAGCGTGCTTTTTATGTTTTGTAAGATACACTGTAAAAAAGTTTTTCATCATCGTTCAACGTTAATTACATCTACTTTTGAGTTTCAACTTGTCATCTGTTATTAAATTCCTGCAATGTCAAAAGAAGTGTCACTGTCATTAAATAAGAGAAGCAAAGTGAAAATCCCTCTATTATGAAATACAACATTTTATATATGACCAAAATGTCACTTTTAGTGATTTCACCAAGTACAAAATGTTCCAGTTCCAGGATCAACAACACCTTTGTTGATCATGCTGGAACAACATTCCAATCAACCAATCAGATTTGAGGGAAAAGTTTACAGTTTATGTCAAGTTTAGGGTTACAACCAGATTAGGTGCTTCAGTGTTATTCACTGTTTCCCTCTGATTTTAGGGATATCTTATGGGTTGGATGTGTGTGTGTGTGTGTGTGTGTGTGTGTGTGTGTGTGTGTGTGTGTGTGTGTGTGTGTGTGTGTGTGTGTGTGTGTGTGTGTGTGTGTGTGTGTGTGTGTGTGTGTGTGTGTGTGTGTGTGTGTGTGGCCTGGTAAACCCTACGTTATGGGGACAAAATCCCCACAAGGATGGCAATTTCCGAAATCCTTGTTCGTGTGGGGACATTTTTTGGTCCCCATGAGGAAATCAGCTTATAAATCATACTAAGTGATGTTGTTTGAAAATGTAAAAATGCAGAATGTTTCCTGTGATGGGTAGGTTTAGGGATAGGGTTAGTGTAAGGGAATAGAATAAACAGTCTGTACAGTATAAAAATCATTATGTCTATGGAAAGTCCCCATAAAACATGAAAACACAACATGTGTGTGTGTGTGTGTGTGTGTGTGTTCACATTTAACACTGCTGAAACTATTCTTCTAAGGATCTTTTTAAGTTCATATAGCCCTAACATCACTGCTGTATCTCATTGATGTGCATTTACTGCAGCGTCTCACTGTCCAGTGATGATTAACACTAGTGATGCCCATTATTGTTGAACCTACTGCAGCTTTACCTCTACTTCATCAGCACAGAACATGATGCTCTGGTGTTCTACCGCATGATTCTTCTTCACAGCCCCTATAACATCATCTGGATCCTTCCCATCAACAGATGACCAGCTGGGGCTTCATTTCACCTCATTAACTGGTTGAGGAAAGCTAACAATGTAACTCTGAGAATGAAATTGCTACACTTGTCTGCCCTCTTGCTGTTTATTACACTATCAGAAAGCCTGTTAGATAGAAACCTGTGGAATCCTGGAACAATATAATTACAAAACAGGGTTATTATCAATTAAATAAAACTAAAAACTAAAACCATAAAAATCTAATTCCATTACTTGAAACAAAACACATGTTAACTGAAATAATATATATATCATTTTTATTTCAGCTAGTTGCAAAGGCAACAATTATCATTTTCGTTTACTTTAAGTTGAAGTACTAAAATAACTAAAACTAAAAAAGAAATAAAATAATAAGAAATTACTAAAAATGACCAAAAAACACAACAAAATTACCAAAAAATTAACTAAAATTAAAAAGAAAGCAGAATATGTCAAAAATAAAATCTAATTAAAACTATAATAGTATATCAATGATTCTAAAATAACAAAGCCAACACCGTGCTCTCTTGTCTTGTATATTGTCTTGTTTTGTGTCATTCTTTTTAATTACATCAATAATTCAGTTGTAATTCACACTGGTGTTTTCCTCCATGTGTTAGATAAAATAACAAAAGATTTTGAATATTGAGTGTGAATCACAGCTGAACTCTTGGTGTAATTAAAAAGATTCACACAAAATTTAATAAAATAAATAAATAAACAAAAAACAACACTGCTTCAAAAGAACTAAAGGATATATAAAAGGATATATTTTGAAACTTTTAGCTTAATAATTATTATTATTAGTGTATTAATACACACACACACACACAATGAATTATAATTAATGGCAAGAACACACAATCTTTAAAAATAGGATCAAAAGCGTCCTCTAGTGGAGAAAGTCTACAACATACCCAGACAGAGATGAATAAAGATGTAACACCAATTGCTGCAAATAGCTAATAACATCAGTAGTTAAAAGGAATTGCTTTATATATAAATATGTATTATAATAATATGAAGGTAAAGCTGTAAAAATCATGTTTGCAAACGGTTACATCTTTTTCACTGCACTCTGTAGTTTGCACAGTATAAGCAACATTTCTTGTTTTTATATAACATTCTGTTAGTTTGATAGAAAGGATGTTAATAAAGTTGTTAATAAATGTCCTGAATCTTGAAACCCACAATGTAGCACACACACACCTCACTAGGGACATTATTCAGTATCTAGTCCATGCCTTCCTTTTAACTGATTTCCATGAGCACTGTCCTAAAATGAATGTGAATCCCATTTATCATGCATAGCAGAAAAGACCAATTAAGCACTATTGAGGATGAGGCTCTGTCGTTCTCGCAAACCATTTACACGAACTGCAGATCAAAGTGTCTGTGCCAATGTGGACGTGAGAGATGTGATGCTAATGTGGAAGGCCTGAGCCCGTATCTGCAGGACAAACACAGGAAAGATAACACACTTTCCATTCTCAAGTGCTTTTCAAGCAGCTTGTTGATTATATAAGGAGTTCTACATTAGAACACACAGGATCAGAGAAGAGGGTGGCCAGTGTTTTTTTATCACTCACAAGAACCTGACATGTACAGTGTATATGACGTATATTAAACTAAAAACAAGTTCAATGTTTTAAAATGACAATAATATTGTGGAATATTACTAGCATTTAAAAGAACTGTATATATATAATATAATACAATATAATGAATATGCTGATTTGCTGTCTTAAGAAGAACTTCTTATTTTTTATCAGTGTTGATAACTCATTTTTCTGCTTGATATTTATATCTGTCTGTAAACTCTCCCATTCAAAAGTTTGGGGTAAGTATATGATTGAAAAAATATAATAATAAAAATAATACTTTTATTTATCAAGGACACATTAAACTAAACAAAAGTCAAATTAAAATCATTGATAACATTAAAAAATATTAATATTTCAAATTAATGCTTTTGTTTTGGACTTTTTTAAAGAATCATGAAAATCCATATTCTACAAATGTTATATGTTGAAATATATTAAAATAGAAAACTTCTTTAAAATGTAATAATATTTCACAGTATTGTTTTTTATAGTATTTTTAATCAAATAAATGGAGTCTTGGTGAGCATAAGAGAATATATATATATATATATATATATATATATATATATATATATATATATATATATATATATATATATTATTGATTTATTTGTATTTTTGAAATGCCATAAGCTCAGGTGATCTTTAAACTCAAACACCAACAGGAAAAATTGTCGATTTAATTGAGATTTAATGTAAATAACATACCTTATATTGTATATACCTTTATATTTTAGATGAGCTTTATTTAAAACTCGTTACACCACTTTTTTTTATTTATTCCTAAATTAATTTTTGAAAAAATGTTAAAGGGGTGGTATAATGCCCCTTTTTACAAGATGTAAAATAAGTCTCTGGTGTCCCCAGAGTGTGTATGTGAAGTTGTAGCTCAAAATACCCCACAGATCATTTTTTATAGCATGTTAAAATTGTCCTTTTTTGAGGGTGAGCAAAAATGCGTCGTTTTCTGTGTGGGCTCTTCTCGTTCTTAGCAGAGCCATATAGAGCTCTTTTTTGCGAGGCGGGGTCAATTTTAGGGTTCGTGATGTCACTGTAGTCCCTATCAGTCGTTTGTTGTAGTCCTTAAAAAGTGATTTCTGTAAAAGCAAATATCTCCCTTCGCTTTGAAACTTTGCAGATGTTGTTTATGCTCAAACAGCAACATTACACACTAACTAAAGTTAGAAAAGTGAAATCATAATCAACCACCCGTTTAAAACCGAATCATGGAATGAATACTTGAATACTCATGTAATGAATACCGAATCATGAATACAGTGGCTTAGAAAAAGCTTTTTAACCATCAACCATCATGATGGCCGCCATGTTGAGATCACATGACACAGCTAAATACTACTCACTCAATAACTCTCTGTCACTTTTAATTCCTGAATAAATTATTTACACAGTCATAAATATGCTTGTAATTGGACTGGAGCATTATAATGCATCATGAATTAATAAAATTGTCTTTTCCATCCACACTTTAGGTGTCAGTAACACTGTAAGCCCACTGTAAAACAATACAGGCTGCGTCTGAAATCACATACTCTCTTATTTTGAATAAGTACGTACTTTGCGAGCACATAAAAAACTATGTTCTATATGTAGTATGAATGTAATCCGGTCAGACTACATTCACCATGCTGTCATTATCTTGTGACCTACCAGCGTCAGTTGCGTTGCTTCACTAACATTCATAAATCCTCTCCCATGGCCTCATTTGATAGTAAATTGTCCATGATATGCACACTTCAGAATCTCGTCGGAAGTTGTAGGTCATCCGGGTACTTTTTGCCTACTCTTCTACTGTGCATTCGGACATAGGTTACTTATTTTGTAACACACAGATTTCGGACACAGACTGAGTGCAGCTTTAAGTCTCTGTTACAGATTCCTCACTGTTCAAGGGGTGATGACATTTTACTGACATCTAGTGGCTACTAAAA